TATTTTATTAAATATTGGTATTTAAAGTTAGAAACTGATTGCATTTTTAAATTTTGAATTAAGATTTCAGTTTCTAAATATAAATTGAGACTTTATTTTTTTTTTTTAAGTTGAGATTAATATGTATTAAGATCTAATTTGAAATAAGAGATTAGTGATTTTATATAATCTAATAAATAAAAATTTTAAACTAATAATAATAATTATCAATTGTGAAATTTAACATAACTATTATATTAAATAGTCTATTAATTTTTTTAAGAGTGCTATATTATAACTGTAATTGAATTTTTAAATTTTTATTATTTTAAAAAATCAAAAATATTGAAAAATATATAAATTAATTATAGTAATAAATTTACATTTTAAGAGAGATATTGTGTAAAAATTATTCATGAGATTTATTGTCAAACAAAGTTTTGTAAACTATTATTAATCATTTTTAACCATTAAAACAACTAAAACTAATACGTTAAAGATAATATTAAAAAACTAGATTTCAAGTAATTATTTAAATATGAATTGCCTTTGATCTTCAATATGTAATTCCATGTAAGTAACATTACTACCATTTGCTTGCCTTTCTTGTGGAGTTCCAACACCAACCAAAACTCCAATAACATCTAAATTTGTAATAAAAGCATTTTAAATAAAAATAAATCACATATTCATTTAATAAAATTATATTAAAATAAAAAAAAAAATACCACAAAGGCATTTGTTCCTTTTCTCGAGAAGCTTCTCATAATCCATGAGTTCAAATACAAATCTCGAAATCTCTGCAACTTCTTCGATTATTTCTTTAACAATAGTATCAAGGTGAAATTGAATCTTGTAGTTGTTATGAGAGACAACACGATAAGTGTCCTTATTCTTTTTGACGGAAAAATTTTTCACATAATAAACATTTCCTTCCACCAACTTATTCTTAAATCATAGAATATTGGAACTCCAAATGATAGCATGAATAAAATTTTTCTACAAACAAATAATTATTGTTAATAAAATTCATTAAATACATAAAAGAATAAATGTAATAACTTATAAAATTACCTTCTCATCGGCGAAAATCATTCTAGTAGTCAGATGGTCCCTATCACATTTTAAACTAAAAACATCCCACAATCTGCATATTCGTACTTTAATCTTCCAATCTTCTTTATCAGGTGAAAGTTGATCAAGAAATACATATTCCAGATCTCTTGCAATCGATTTACCTCTATATAACAAAATATTTTAAAATTAGAGAGAAAATGTAACATAATTAGAGAAAAAAGAAATTGGTGCTTAAAATCAAATACCTATTCATATTGAGAAAATGCAATCCAAACAACTATAACCCTAAACACGAAGAATAGAAGGAATACCGGAGGATGGCCAAATGCCAATCATGAAAACATTTGAAAGGATCAGATTTTTCGTCTTTGGTAAATATGGTTTAGTTGTGGCATTGGTAAATTATTTTCAGTTATTTTTTATTAATAAATTTATTGCTTATCATAACAATCATAATTAATTGCTTATCCTGCAGCCATCAATTCTAAAAAAATAACTATCAAGAAGATATAACAACGTCCCTTTAAGTAGGTCAAAAGGTATATATAAATTTATTACTTATCATAACAATCATATTTTATTGCTTATCCTGCAGCCATAAATTCTGAAGAAATAACTGTTCAAAAAGAAATAATTGTTCAAGAAGATTTAACGTCCCTTTAAGCAGGTCAAAAGGTGAATATAAAATGCTTACCCTATTTAATGCATATGGTAGCATTATATATATATATATATATATATATAGATTT